GGTGCTGGGAGGGCTCCATCGATGCCAAAGACCAAACAATCGATCGTCCTCACCCACCGAATAAGATGATTTGAAGATCAGCGACAAACTAATTTTGAATTTTCAAACATAATTTGTGCATGAGGGACTAGAGCTCTTGATGCTTAACCTGTTTATATGATTTATTTGGCAAAATGCCAATCTGGGAAAGAGAGACCATCCAGGGGATGAGGACAGTTTTACTCCACTTCGACAGCACAAGATAGAAGTTGTCGTATGGTTGAGAGTACCGTCATTCCGTTGTTTAGATTACAAAATAAGATAATAATCTGCGTTTATGCTTCGCTACAGTGTAGCCTCACGTGATACGAAATTGTTCAAGGTCTCTTTAAAAACTAAAAAATCTTCAAAGTCCATCTGTTGAAAAAGCATTTTTGAAGGCCGCTGTGTTCTTTCGAAGGAGAATATGAATTTGAGCTTTTCTTTTTGTAGAATCTAATGTAAAGAATCAAAACATTAATCAGAAATAGAACCCCGTGGAAGGTAAAACTTCTGTTTTTTCTCTTTAGTTGAAAAAGGAATAAGAGTGAATCGTAAGGGGGGCCTTTATCAGGGTAAGGGTGGTCTGTAGGGATGCGGCTACTTTTCTTATCGGTATGCCTCTTTAGAAATGGTTTTCAAGGGAAACCGCTGTCACGTTCATAGCCTGATGATTGAATACCGGATAGAGTCCAGCTCTAGCTCAGCACCAAAATTACAAGGTTGGAGGTGATAGTTCTCGGTTGATCTTTGGCGTAGAACATGAGGCTTGGTACCTTTCCCGTCTGGGAAGGTAAAACATAAGCTTCGGTGCATAAGTAGGGTCCCAAGTCATTCTATAAGACAGATTCGTTTCCAAATCAGTATCCCAATAAAAGTCCATGTCAAAAGGGGGAGGTTGTTTACCAGGGCCTTCCTTTGTCCTTCATCCTTCAGCTGTGACTGATATGTTCTAGCCTACAAAGTTTTCCAGACAAGTCAGCTCTATGGATGGATGGTCGAGTGAAAATGCACGATCTCGTTATGAATACAATGTATTCCAGGTAAATATCGTTCAACAGCCTTGTTCGTCGAATTTTTCACCTCGAGAAAAAACTAACATAAAAAATGTTCTAAAAAATCTTATCTCTCAAACTCTGAAAGTTGTATTTCCCATTAAGTGCATGGCTGATTGTGATCGATGTTCAGGCGATAAGTTTTTTATGGTTGACGACGAGGCAGTTTTTTGAACAACTAGGCATTGACGGTGGAATAAGGTCACATCTATGGGTTGGCTATTCACTAAATTCTCACAATCATGACCCTGAACGTTTGGGCAATAGCTTTTGAGATGCCATCAAAATGAATGACTGCGTAGCAGAAAGGGGAGGGGGGATGGGGCATACTGGATGTGGTACCTATACCTGTTATCCGATAGGTACCTCTTCCATGAAGTGGAGGCCAAATATGGCTCTTCAACACAGCACCACTTATTTCAAATGACGACCACCTTTTTTGGATATTCATGAAGAACAGGGGCTCACATTAGCTGGAAGCGGTGGGGGTTATTTCAGCCCTACCGTGGGTATACCTCTTCTAAATCGTTAACCCATCAGGGTTCCTCTTGAGGACTAAAAAATTGGTTGCCAACTGCCATGAGTAATCACTTTACCATATCGTGCCCGCATTACCTTAAATTGTCTCTCCAGAGGAAAGAGATCGAGAAATGAGAGGATTAGGGCAAGGAATATGCCCACACACGCCCAGTTCCCGGGACTTTTCTTCTGCCGTCGAAGTTTTTAGTGGAGTGCGTCATTAATGGCTGATGTTTCAACAAGATCGCCTTTTTCAAACACTCGCCGTGAATTGCAATTCAGTAGTTGCAGGTTCTGCATAATAGGCCAAACACTTCTTCGACTAGCGATTCTGCAGGGGTTTCAAGTTATCTGAGAAGATCCAAATCGATGAATACTTCTTGAACCTTCTTCAGTAGAATGAAAACAGAGTCAACAACTCGTTCAGTGTAATTTTGAAAAAAAAAACGAAATTCCTGGACTACGTGCATGCCTCTGGAAAAGAAACGAAAACAGAACGGGCAGTGGTCCCGAATGGCATGCTGCGCTGTGAGGCAACTAGCTAGTACCATGTTACGATCTGAGAGCACAAGGCGCCAAGTACAGTGTGTATCGATCTTGTACTCGGACGACGTTTTTTGTCCTTCGCATCCATCGCGCAATGGAGTGCGCTGTGCGAGGGTAAGATTTGGATTTCCGGTAGGTGATTACGGTAACTCGCCCGCAAAACTATTGCGATCGTGGGAATCGGAGTACAAAGTCTGTCACCCTGAGTGCTATAGTACATCCTCGCACTTTCGGAGCGGTCCTTCGACAACGCCCTCGATTGTCCTTAACGTACGAAGGGATTGATGATTGTGAGAAGGATCGCGAAAACTATGATGGATGACTTTGATTTCTCTTTGAACGATAGGAAAGGTGGCCTGAAGACGTTGTAGCCCATTGATCTTGTGACAGACAGCCTTGAAAGGCTTTGTACCTACAATTCCTTCTTTGAGTAAAAATCTTTTTTTTGCAGGAATTTTTGAACGCTGATGGACAGGGTATCTTCGTAATTATGATACTGAGAGCTCAAGATAATCAGTCCATGATTCGTATGGAATATATGACGGAAACCATAGAGGTGAACAGATTTTTCTTAACCTAAAGCTTTACTAAACTTCAGTTTTCAAATTTGAAACTTATACATATACGCCAAGTTTATTTTTTCGTGTGAAATGTCTGATTTCTTGAAGGTTTGAGATTGAGGTTGATCCTTTTTGGGTGCGCTCCGTATTTGACTTTCATTCAAAATGGTATTGGTGGCTTGCTGCAAATGTTGCTTGTTCAGTGAGGTTCTCAGACTATTCTGGTCTGACCTCGTCGGGATCAAAGGCTTGGTTGGTCCAGGCAGATATCTACCCACGATTCGATCCACGCTCCATGCATTTGTTATAGTTGGCCACTTGCCACTACATCACCTCCACCCCTCAACGTAGCGTGATTTATACATGAGCCCTTGTTTGCCGTTCGGACATTGTATTCTGGGAACACTAGGCATTCTCATTGAAGAGATTAATTCCTTTTTCAATTCTTCATTTCTTTAGCAAAGCTTGAATGACCGACTGCTCTATACTTTAGGGCAAGTTATCGCACTTCTTCGTGAGACCTTTCAAGTAAATTGCAATAGTACCATACCCATCGAAATCCGAAAAAAAACTGTCGAAAACGAAGCAGCGAAGAAGATAATCTCAGAAATCCCTCAATTTTACCATATTTCCAAATTTCTATTCGATTCAACCCCTTCGGCTTAACCCACGAGGGCTAGATATCGATCGACTGGTTGACTCTGCCTTGTCTGCCTATCGAGACGAGGCGAGGCGAAATCTGCCACCGGATTCTTCATAAGAAACCATTAGTGAGAAAAAATCGACAGTCGATAACCTATAATCCAATACAGGAGTTACAAAATTCCTATATTTGGGCTTGTGACAATTCCTACAGGTGTCTTAGAGTATCATGAACGTGGACTGACTGAAATTTTGGAATAAAATATCAAACCTCTGATTCACCTTATAAATATGCCTTACTCGTTCTTCATTTCAGATTCTCGAATTCGTCTCATCCCAGTTTCCAATGTACGATGCAGATCTTGGTAGAAATCAATCCTACAACGAGTTCTGTAGAGGATTCTGTAAGGCAAATGAGCCTGTAAGAATGTTCTATGTGAGTAATCGAATGCTGTTTGAAAATGAGGAGCATAGCCACTTTACTGCACGTTTTCAGAATGGGCTACGAATTTCTGAAGGGAACGTTAGCGATGAGCTTCAACAACGAGTCAATCTCTCCTATCCAACTTCGGAAATGTTTTCAACGAAGTTTAGTCTGCTGGTAAGATGTCATTATGGAGAAGTACAGTCCTGGGTGAAAGAAACGCCCCTTTTCAGTTGGTTCGACTACAGTATCAATATTGAAATTTCTACAAAAACAACATAAATTAAAATTGTTTTTTTTTNTTTTTTTTTGAATTCTGAGTATTTTCCCAACCGTTTCTTCCGTTTCCTTGGTTCACATTCATCTTACCGTTGACTTCGATCATTTGAACTGTCTAGAAGCCAAAGGAGTAGGTTGAAGAGGGCCAGCAATGTTCCCAAACAGGCCTTTGACAACTTTCGCATTCTTGAAGATAGCTCGGGAACCTTTTAGCGCTCATAGCGAACAGTTTCCCAAGGTTACCCACACATTCACTCAGAATCGCCTCGACAATGGCGTGAGGGCGGAAGAGGAGTGGCAGCCTCTAACGTCAGGCGACTTTGATACCTATTGATCGATACCAGGAAAACAAAAGCCCGATCAGCCACAATTAGGCAGGATCCCGTTCAAATCAGAGGATACCCTTAGCTTTCTGTGCTCTGCTACCTTCCATTGATCTTCCCTATGATTTGGCATAATGTTCATCAGTTTAGCCGAATTTCTTCGGTGTAGAGCTGGAAGAGGATGGTCGGAGCATCAGAAATGTGTCTTTGATTGCACTATTGTTCCGAGCTGAGAGGCATCCTTCTTGGACGGTTGACGCAGTAAAGCAATGGGAACTGAACATTCAAGACTACTTTTCGAGGTATGTATGAGAATCGCTCAGGCGGCTGCCCTTTGAAAATGAGCTATGGTGCTAAACTATGAGAAGAGTTGATGTTATTCCTACAGGATACCTACGTTTATGTCTTTCTTTGCCATTCTCCGTCTCACATATCTAAACACTATTCCCGCTAGCCGCCTTTCAGCCGCCGCCTAGTTTAAACGCTACCATACTCGGAATTTCCAGTAAGTTACCATTTTCAGGAATTACGATCAACGACGAATTGAAGTGAACGTTCTTTCGGTGGCGATTGTCGAATACGGTATGTTTTGCACCTCGTTTCCGGGATTCTAGAAAAAAAATAAACTGAAGAGAAATTTCGTAAGAAGATTTTTATGAGGCGAAATATATCAAACTACCGTAACTGGTCCTTCTATTGTTTTCGCAAATAATTTGAAGAGGTATTTCATAAAAAGATATCTCAAGTGGCGAAATATATCAAACCACTGTAACTGGCTCTTCAGCCGTTTTTTTTTGTTATGTGCTAAGAATATAGCACCCATTGAAAATCATCAGAACAATTATAAAGTGTCAGAAATCAGGTGTCCTGAGCAGTATCTATTCCACTGATTATATCATAGCGGACAAATGTAGTGTTACTCAGTTAGCTCCCAAAAGGTGAAGAGCTCGGTGTAATTGAATTAGGTAACATTCAAGTGTAATGAAGAATGTTCAGGAAAGTGGGAGATTGATACAGTATCCCGTGCCAAATGACAATTTTACAAAGTATAAGTATAAGTAGTATTTATTATACGTAATGGATTTTTTTTAGATATCGTCAAAGCTGGTGATTCACTTCGACCGTTCCTGGTTGTTGGATTCGTCATTATGTGCATCTTCTGTACAACAACGACGATAGCAAGCTCAGTGATAATGTACCATCATAAAGCCACTTTTAATAAGGTAAATTATAATATTTAGCTACCAGTGAGCTACGCACACTCATGCGCGCACCACATGTCCACAACCGCTCATCTACGATCTTACTCGAGAAGAGCAGTGAACCTATAAACGACACTGCTTTACC